TTACAGCTGTTGACTCGGGCGTGTATGACCTCGTCAGGAGGTCACCGACAAGTGGTGGAGGCCCTTGCTATCCTCCGCCTCCGCTTTGCTGAACCTGTCAAGTGCAAGTTCCTCATCTCAATGATGCTGTCACACCCCCACCCCAGGTACTGTCACACCCCCACCCCAGGTACTATCAGGTACTGTCCACCCCAGGTACTGTCACCACCCCCTGTCACACCCCCACCCCTGGTACTGTCACACCCCTGTCACACCCCCCACCCCAGGTACTGTACCCCACACCCCCACCCCCAGGTACCCCTGTACTGTCCACACCCCAGTGCTAGGTGCTGTCACACCCCCACCCCAGGTACTGTCACACCCACACCCCAGCTGTATGTAACACCCCCCACACCCCAGGTCCACCCCCACTGTACTGTCACACCCCACCCCCAGGTACTGTCACACCCCACCCCAGCACACCCCAGTGCAGGTACTGTCACCCAGGTACTGTCACCACCCCCCACCCCACAGGTGTAACACCCCACCCAGGTGCTGCAACACCCCCACCCCAGGTACTGCATCACCCCCACCCCAGGTGCTGTCACCCCCCACCCCCAGGTGCTGTACACACCCCCCCAGGTGCTGCCCCCCACCCCAGGTACTGTGCTCCCCCAGGTACTGTAATGATCATATGATATTTTCATGTTCCGACGCTTGACAGTGGCCCTTAACACAGCCCCGCTTTATACCCTAAACAGTGTTGAATGTATGAGAGGCGTCACAGTCCCTAATGCCTCCTCCATATCCCTGAACGCAGGCTACCATTTCCATGCTTGTTGTGGTAGATATTTTTCACAGCAGGTTTCAGATTACTAAAGAGAAAACGTTATTTTTTATTTTAGATAAGGATATTTGGGTTATTTGTGCTGCCATCTCTTATATTTTGGGTTAATTGAATTAGTCAGTTGTCTCTTTACCTCTATGTTTAGTAAGAATAACTTAAACTATACATTTATCCCCTCTGTGTACCACCGAGCTCATCCATTAAGTGCTGCCCACAGTACAGAACAATACCCAGTACGTCACTAATCCCCCTCTGGTGGTGACAGCTTCCAGGTGTGGGGTATGAGGTTTCTGAACGCATTGGTGGCGTCGTCGGGCAGCCTGCGACAGAGGATCTACCTGCAGGAGGAACTGGCTGAGGCTGGCTTCGACCCCTCCGTTCTTAGGAAGGTGAGGTGCAGAGGGTCTTGCTATGAGTGAGGGTACAGAACAGTTTATCCCACGTGGTGATTGTGGTGTCCCTTGAAGTAGAAATTCAGACAGAAGTTTATCGAGAAACAACAGTACAAGAACAAGGTTGAATATAAAGGACAGTAATACAGTAACTTTGTATTATATGGAAGGTTTTGTCTGATACCAAGACTCAAATACAGAAAAATTGATGCAAAAATATCAGAAGAGAAAGTTCAGCTATAAAGGAATGTAAGCCTACAGTAACGTGTAGCTGATATTTCCATGTTTGTTTCTTCAATTTGCATATTAATTCACGTAAGCAATTTGACTGACTCCTTCCTTCTTTGATAACATATTTCCCTTTAGAGGCATTTTCTTCTGATTTGATATATACTACTTGCATGACACACACACACACACACACACACACACACACACACACACACACACACACACACACACACACACACACACACACACACACTCTCTCAACTCTCTCTCTCAATCTCAATCTCAATCTCCAATCTCTCTCATATCGTCTAAACCTCCTTCAGATCATCGAAAGGAGCGGGTCAGACCACCTCCAGCAGCTAGCCATGGCTGAGCTGGGTCGGTGGAATGCTGCCTACGTGGACGTCGGGGGTCTGGAGAATGAACTGTTTGACCTGCGAACCGCCAACGCCAAACTGCAGGAGGAACTGAGGAAGCTCCGGGAGGCTAACATGGTGAGTCTTACGCCCGAGAAGGATGAGCAGGAAAGATGATCAGAAGATAAAGTAATAAAGTAGATAGTACAGCAGATAATGTAGTGGAAGAGAAGGGTTGATGATTGTTGTAATAAGAGAGATAAGTAGAATTTTATGAGCGGCAGTAGACTTGTAATATATAATAACAATTATTTATAACCTATTTTGTTGTATACAGTAGTTTTAACTTAATCTGGGTAGCCCGCTGGTCGAGTGGATACACTGTTCACTTCCTGTTTCAGAGGTCACTGATTCGATTCCTGGGCACTCTCAGTTTACCCAGCTGTAAATTGGTACCTGAGTTTACAACAAGGAGTTAGCATAGCCGGTAATGCACTCGACCGACTTTGCTTCCCCAGGCTGTAAACTTAGGTACCCATTTACAGCTGGGTGAACTGGGATCGTCAGGAATTGAACCAACGACCCCCAGAACAGAAGTGAACACTGTAGTCACTCGACCACCACACTTCTATATTGTAGTAAAGTGTAGCTAAATTTTCATGACCATTATAAGAAGATGAATTTCATGACTATTTGAGTAAGGTCTAGTTAGTGCTTCATGGTCACTATAGCAAGGTGATTATAGTTAGTGTTGTTTTGCCCCTCCCTCAACTATCCCTCCTTTATCCAGAAACTCCTTGAGGAAAATGTCCTCCTGAAGACTGTGGGTGGCGAGGTGGAGGAACGTTTTTCGGCCCTCCAGCGGCGACTAGAGCAGAACGGCATCCCTGTGCCTCCATCCCCAGTCCCCTCCGTCAGCGATTCTGATCTCTCTTCCCTCAACACCTTCAGGAATTCCACCATGCGTCGCAATTCCATCTCACCTTCCAGGAATGGAGACTCGAGAAGCGCCATCACCGAGACTGACTCTGTTATATTCACTCAGGCAGGTGGGAGGTCCATCACGCCAGTATGGAACGGCAGTCCAAAGCTGCAGTCTGAATCCTCCAGCAGCAAGTCGTCCATTTCTTCCAGTGAGACTGTCGCTCCAATGCGTCCCATCTCTTCCTCGAACTCTGGCGTCCTCCCACCCACTAGAAGAAGCAGGCACCAGTCTGGTTCATCCACGCCCGAGCCCAGAGTGACTTCTCCTCTGAGGAGCTCCACTGCATCACCCATCAGGAATGGAGAGAAGAAAGATGACCACAGGAGGGAAGATGGTACACCCACCAGAACTTCGCCCACACAGGAGACCGAAAAGAAGCGAACGTCGGGAGACAGATTCAACGAGCACATGCCCACCACACACATAGATATGACTTACCAAAGTGAAAAGTCGCCGTCACCAGAGGCAGAACTACAAGATAGAAGCAGGTCGCCTCCTGGTGGAAAACAGACCACTCAGGAACCCAAAAAACCATCTAGATCAAGTAGTCGACAGCGCCAGCAGATTTCCAAAGAACTGCCACAGGTGAATGGTTCTTCCAGTAATGGATCTGAGAGGGAGATGCGGAAGTCCGTTAGCCTGACGCAGAGTGACAACAGGCCAAGCAGTAAATCTTCCTCAGCCTCACACACGCCCTCACCCAGGTCAGGATCTCCGTCTAACCCCAAGAGAAAAGCTCCGAAACCTCCCTCAGGCACGACTAGCCCATTATCATCCTCGACTTCTTCCTTGTCATCTTCTTCCTCCACCTCCTCCGGCTCAGGAGGGGAGCGGAAGGATCCTGAGTACATGAACGTGCCACGGCGGGAATCACCACAGAACAAAAGTCGCAGTGAGTCGCCAGCAAGTAAAACTCGGAGTAGCAGCGAGGAAGGCGACCTTGATTATGAGCGAGACGTGGTTGTGTATGAGGCCATCACTCTTGGTAATGACAGGATCTTCATTGATAAGAACAACACTCAAGGCTCCCATGACTCTGACAAGAGTCAAAGCTCAATGGAGACAAAGGGCAGCCAGGAGTCTGGAGACAGTCAGGAAAGCTACCCTGACGGCCCCAGTGTGCGACAGTCTGTGCGTCACTATGAGAACCTGGTGATGATGACCGACCACTTTGAGATGGTTCCTGAGTCATGGATAGACAGTGAGCGAACTGATGCACCGAAAAGAGAAGAGAAAGTATATGATAGGAGAGAGAGACGAGAGGACAAGGAAGATAGAGGTGACAGGAAAGAGGAAAATAGATCAGAGAGACAGGAAGATGTAAGTGAAAAGGAAGTAGAGGCTGTCATGTCGGGTCTTGAGAATGTGCTAAGGAGTGCCGAGTCCTCACTGAGCTTGACATCACAGGAAACAGTAAAGGAAAATCCTCTCTTGAAAGAAAAATTTGAGGACCGGGCAAGCCCAGAGAACGCCACAAATGAAGAACTTGAGATTGTACCAACACGAATTCCTCAACTGCCTGCCAGATCTCGCTCTCAAAATTCTCAGGTGGGAAATAATCAACGAGACCCTGTGCTATTCTTGGAGTTTGAATCTCCAGCTGAGACAAGTGATACTGAAACACTCCTTCGTAGTAGCCAGCCACTTCCTAGTCCCCGCACCATTGAGACAGAGTCTACCAAGTCATTTGGTTTCATCCGTCCAGAAAGGGCGGTGCGACGCCACGAAACCTTCGTTGATCGTAGTAGTAACGAACGAGAGTCTCGAGATGAGCGTCGCCGAGGCATCAAGCGCAGTGAGAGTTTTCAAACTGGCAACAAAAACGACTACAACAGTCATCGCTCATACTCCCCAAGACGACGAGGTTCAATGGACCTTCTGGTGCCTCTAGAGGAGAAGGAAGTCCACATTAGCGGTCGAATGTTCACCAAGTACACCCCACACGAGGTTGAACGACGCAACCGTGTCAATGAGCTCATCACTGCCGAGATGAACCGTCGCAAGAACCGCAGCATGGAAGACCGTCTTGACCAATGGTTTGAGTCTCAGGGCGGTGATGGTGAATGGACGCTCAAGTGGAAATATCCAGAAATTAATCCCGACAAGGAGGAGAAGCTCAGCCGTCAGAAGAGTAACCGGAGACACGAGAGCCAATCACCAACTCGCTATGATGACAACAGGAGGTCTTCTAGATCCAAGAACGTGGAGAATAGATCACCTTCTAAACACCAAGACAACAAAACTCAGTCTGCAAAGTACCCTGTCGACCTCCCTGGTCCACCGCCCAAGCCCTCGCGAGCTGGTAAACAATCCAAGTTCTCCAACTCTGAAATCAGCGCATTTAGTGGCTTCAAGAACCCTAATAGTTTCCGCGAGAGTGACTATGGGCCCAATTTTATGCTCAACAAACCGTCGACACGTTTACCAGACTTTGCGGACTTTGCCGATTATGGCGGGCGAGATTATCCCCCTCCCCGTGGGCGTAACTCAAGGGAAAAGGGCGTGGGTGGGCGGCGAAAGGCAGAAATAGACCCCGATATCCCCACGCCAGACTACTCGGCTACGCCTGCCAGCACCATGTCCACCGTAGCCAATGGGTCCCCCTCTAAACACATCCTGGACATGCCGTCAGGACTGTACTGAGTCATAACCTCAGAACTTTTTCTACACCACATGAACATGAGGAAGAATGGTGGACAAGTTGTACATAGAATACATTTATATAATCTTAATTTTCTCACATATGGTGTAAGAAAAAGCTGTGACAAATACTTTAATACAGTATATACAGTTGTATGACTAACAAGTTAGTGAATCTATCAGAAATAACACTCGGAGGTACCTTTGGACAATAACACAAGTAAATATATATAGATATATTTATTTGTTGACAATTAACATCCCATTTAGAGTTACAGTACATACAACATTTGTGTGGTCACATAAGCCACGTTTGCTGCAACAGCGCGTGGTGGCGAGTGAAGCTGAATACAAGTATTACTCGGTTAAACAATATGTGCAATACTCAAGGAATCTATGTATATATATGTATATATAGTGTTCTATATCTATTGTTATGTAAACTGAAGAAGTTTATATCATGATGTTACAACTTTGGCAGAAGTTTATATAGTGTTGTTGTGACGTAACGAGATGTATCATGGCTTTTGTTTATAGATTTCCCTAAATTGTTTACTAGGGATATCAGCTCCGTGACTTCCCTGGACCCATACTTTCTCCAGTGTTTGATCCGTGAACTATTTATGGGGTATACTATAGCCTCGACCATCAGTGGTTCCTACGATAAATGTTCCTCGTAAGTGGAGTTGTAAGAATACTCCCAACTGATTGACACAGGAGTAATGTTTAAAAAAAATATCATAAACTTTCACTGAGACTCTACTTTACCTTTACTAGACCACCTCTCTTAGTACCAATTAGAAACCAAAATTCGAGTAGAGAATAATTTTCCAAAGATTTGCTCCCTTAACTTAGTCTAGTGTTCAGTAGCTAAGGCAGAGTCTCTGGATATCGATACTCTTTTTTGGATAATTAATGGTCTAGCTTATATTAACCACCTTCCCTTATGAGGAAATATTCACCTTACGAACCTTTGGGAACCACGACCCACTTTTTGAATACTGGAGATGTCATCGAAGTGAATTTTAAAATTTTTGAAGGTCCAATAAATATTTTGCCCCCAGGAAAGTTTGAGTGAGTGGTGTAAACCGTCTTAGTAAAATCAGGAGACTCAGAGGTGAAAGTTGCAGGTGAGTCTTGAGTTTGAACACCTATTGGGATAAATAGGTAAGGGAAATATAATTGACTTGTTGCATCTGTGAGATTATATTTAAAGAATAACATTTATTGTGTATGTGTGTGTGTGATGTGCATGTTGTGTATGGCTGTATGTTGGTTAATGTGTGTGTTGATTGATGTGTATGTTGACTGATGTGTACTGTATGTTGACTGAAGTGTATTTTGACTGACCGATGTGTATGTCGCCGATTATACACTCCAACCTTTCCTTGTATAACAGTAATACAAAATAAAATGTATACAACATAAGAATTGTTTATTTACCTTTACGGAATGAAAAACAAATGTATAATATTTTGAGTTGATGATAAATTGTCTACTACTGGTGATGGTAGTAGTGGTGGTGGTGGTGATAGTAGTGCCGATAATTGTGGTTGTGGATAGTTGTAATACTGTAGTAATGATGGTAGTGAATAGTTGTAATAGTAGTGAATAGTTGTAATAGTAGTGAATAGTTGTAATAGTAATGGTGGTAATGGTTGTGAATAGTTGTTGTATAGTAATGATGATGGTAATGGAAGTAACGATAATTGTGGTGATGGTGGTTGGGGGTGACTATAATGGTAAAAGTAGTGGTGGTGCAAATTCTATTAGATTAAAATATAACATAAACATAAATTTAAATGACAAAATTTCACCTGTGTAATTGTAGAAAAATTTCCCTAAACACTTGTCAATATATATCTGGCACCATGTACTTGAGGGTCAGGGTCAGGAAGTGTAGAAGTCATGTGATTCTTAACATCTAATTTACTCAACAATTTTTTACCATAGAATTTTTACTCTTAATTTTTCATCATAGAATTTACTAAACAAAATTTCTCCCAAGAATGTTTTTATTATTATTATTGTGATTTAGTTTATAATGAAAAGCTATCTGACCCACAAGTAGATGACAGAAATATAAACTTAACTATACATTTCAATAGAGTTTTAAGGGAAGTAATTTTTTTTTTCAATAATATTTCTTTCTTGGGCTTCTACTGAGTGGTCTTATCTACTCATATCTACCTTGATTGTATTTAAAGATGGGTTCTATTTCGTATATTCCTATGCTATAATACTTTTGTCTTACCTGATACTAAGGTAGGTAATGTATAGTGTTGACTGTTGCCATATATCCAGTTTTGATTCATGTGTGTTTATGTGTTGTATAATCTTCATTGCATAGCTTCCTGTATAAAATAAATAATTAAATAACCAGTTTAAAGGGCAATTGTAACTCTTACCATAAGCACCAAGGTTGATACACTAATAATAACTGAAGATGATTCCGTATATACAGTGAACTAAATCAACAATGCTTCTAAACATTCATCAATACATTACGTTCGTGCGAGCAGATCACACACACAGCGAGGACATGGGGCGCCCTCTTGTGTGGGTATATACATAAGGTCATCTTCTGAGGTATCAAAAAATACTGCGAAGGCCATGTTGTTGTTGACACGGGTGTCTGGTAGTGTAAGGAACCCGAGTATAAGGGATCTGAGTATAAGGAACCCGACTGAGGTATTGTTGATAGGTTACAAACTCAGTAAATCTCTCTACTAATTAAATCTCGCCTCAGGTAATATCATCAATAGGTAGGAAAAAAAATAGTACCACAACTTGGGTCTTGGTGTGAGTGACTGATGTAAACACACCGAGTATACTTGTGGTTATGGATATTGATTGATTTTGTTTTTGTTTTTAGTACCTCGGTCTTGTACTTGTGTGTTCACCAGGTCGTCAACTCAACAGGTCATAGGCACTCCCAGACGTCCGTGACTATACAGATACACAATAAGGCAGGTATTCCCCAAAGGTCCAGATTCTCCAATTTTCGTATGTAATATTTCCCTTATGGTGTGAAGACTTGTTTAGCTGCCTCTCTTAAACTACCACACTTAGTTGGACAAAATGACGTCGAAATGACACTTAACATTCGATCATAACTATCTACTTGTCTCCGGTAACAGGGAAATTATTCTACCTACGAATCATTCAAGAATCCTAACCCAGGTGAAGTAAGTCTGCCGAGGGGGGGGGGGGGTACACCGTGACACACATGCGGGAGACAAGCTACAGTACTTCACCAAGAGTATATTAACGTGACTACAAGGACCAGGCATCTTAGTCTGATACACTGCCAAGCTATACTGTACATGAAGAGTTGTAAGATATGTCACCCTGTTGAAGAATTACTGTATACACATCCACTATACAACTCTGCCTATATGTCATCTTTAAAAATAAATTGAGCTTTGGTAACTTTTCCAAATTATTTATCGTCGCTGACACTTCACGAAAATATTAAACCATCGCCACGTTTCCTCTCCAGCTGCCTCAACATACTGTAACTAATCACAGCTCGATAGAATTACTGTATCAGGGAATAATTACTCACTTCCAGCAGTGTATGAGTCATCCTCAGGACCTGACTCACCACGCTCTAGCACTAGGTCCTCCTTGGCAGCAGCAACAAGGAATGACCTCGCTGTCTCTCGTGTAGATGGTCACAGCTCCTGTGTTTTTACTTTCCTGTAGAAGGTGTATTACTCCCTCCTGTGTAAGACACCAGGGGATACTACACCCAGGTTCACGCCCACACATACACCCATCCCGCCCCTAACTCATCCCTTCTCAATCCTGATTGTCACTAATACTCTGCCTTCAATATGGCCCCTTAGAGTCAGTATTCAAAATAAAACCTCTCTCTCTCTCTCTCTGTGTGTGTAGCTGTTACAACCAGCCTTAGCCAAAACCGACGAGGTTAAGGAGGAGCAGGTGGAGGAGGAGGATGGTGAGGGGGGTGAGTGAAGAAGGGAGGACATATCTCGCCCTCCCACCACCATCAGCCGCCACGTCCACCACCACCAGGGTCGTGCTGTTGGAGAGTCCCCCTCGGTGCTTGTACTTGATCTGGTTGGGGTGTTTGTTGCCTGACCTGCCCGGCGACTTCCAGCTGCCTGAAGGAGACGGGATCATGTTGGTGACGAACTTAGTGGTGCGGAGGCTGTCTCCCAGGTGGGTCTTGTCGTCCTTGTGAGTGTTGTTGAAGGAGGTGTTCCTGGAGGGTGTTGACGGCCACCTGGTGGTGTAGGTGTAGGGCGGTGCCTTACCTGAGGGAACAATAACAGTGGTAATAATCGTGTGTGCAATTGTCACCTGAGCATCATTATTAATAGTCATCATCATCATTAATAGTCATCATCATCATCATTAATAGTCATCATCATCATCATCAATAGTCATCATCATTAATAGTCATCATCATTAATTATTATCATGAAACTTTAACCATCATCATTATCATCAAATATCATTAATTATTATCGTCAATCATCATCATCAACACTAGGGAGGGAAGGGAAGGGGTCACTCACCTGGCTGTATTACGCGCCACGGTCGTGTTGGCACTATTAGTATGGGGTCCTTAATCTCTGTAATATAACCAGTATGATTAGTACAGTATAACTAGTATGATTATTTTACTTCAATAAAACCGGTGTGATTAGTATCCCTGTATAATTGATCTGTGGTGAGTGTGTTATACTCCCTATAATAACTAAGGACTCTGTAGTATAATGTGGTATAATTAGTATATTCCTGTATTGTTTACCCTTCCAATCAATATCCTCAGTATACCTTTATGTGATTAGAATATGTGTAGTATAGCCGGAGTGATTAGCTAGTCGATGATTGTGTGAGATAAAACAAGAACACACACACACACACAGACACAGACAGACACTCACTGTAAACCTTGATGGTGCCGTGAGCGTGACCGGTGGGACTGACAGCGTGGCAGTCGTAGCGGGTGAAGTCTCCATCAGATACTCTCCTCACCGTCAGTAGTACCTCAGTCCTCGTCGACGCCTTCACCTCCTTCACCTGGTACTTGTCGCCTGAGGGAGAGGTGAAGGGTGAGAGGGAGAGAGACAATCCGTGCTGGGTTAGTTAGTAGAGTAGTTGGGCAATAGAGGGCAGGGCAGGTGGGCAAGGGAAGGCATGACAGACAGGGTTGGGCAATGTTGGTGGGCAAGAAGGGAGGGCAGGACACACGGTAGGGCAGTGTAGATGGAGAAGAGAGAGGCAAGATGAGGAAGAATGAGAGGAGGTGGTGAGAGAATGAGAGTCCAGAGTGGATGAACAAGAAGAGTAAACACCTTAGACGTGGTAAAAACTAAAGCGCTGATTACTTTACCTGGTACGGCATACAGTACACCTTACCTGGCCTGACATAATTAACCATAGGACTGTTAAATTTACCTGTGTGTGGGGGGGATGTACCGTTTTAGTCTACCGTACCTGTTAGACACTGTTACCGTCGAAGTGTACCGTTACCATCTCTGACTTCCTGTTTTATCCTACCGTTAACCTCGCTGACTATACTGTTACTTAACGTTGTAGTCCACCGTTAACCTGTAAAACTCTGTTAATCCCCATTTTATTACCGTTAACCTGTTGAGACTTACTGTTGGTTATGTTGACGCCGTTGACTTCCCAGTAGTGTCGTGGTGGAGGGTTGGCTACGCTGGTGCAGTTAAGAGTCACGTCTAGCCCAGCCTTAGTGCCTACCAGGTCCTTACCCAGCCACAACACTGGGCCATCTGTCAACACAACCTTGGCTGAGCGTCTTATAATACTTTCTTGGGAGGTGTGTGTGTGTGTGTGTGTTTTAGAGGTGTGTGTGTGTGTGTTTTGAGGGGAGGAGGTTGTGATGGTAATGTGGTTGTGATGTTTCTTGTTGGTAGTTGTTGTTGTTATTGTTTTTATTATTAATTTTGTCATTGTTGTTGTCAAGATTTATATACTGTAGTTGTTGTTATTATTATTATTATTATTATTATTATTATTATTATTATTATTATTATTATATGAGTAAATAAAAGACATCAAACACCTGAAAATCTGATAAATAAGAATAATCAAGTAATTACAGGTAAGGTAAAAGGTGACTACTTACAGGTGATAGTCAGGTGTGTGGTGCGGGAGACCGGTGAGGTGGCGTTGTTGTCCACGTGACAGGTGTAGGCTCCTGAGTGCTCCCGACGGACAGACTCAAACACCAGGACGCTCCCTTCCATCGCCCACACTGGCAGACACACGCCAGGTTGGAGTTAGTTAGTTAGTGTGTTTGGTTGTTAGTTGAGGTAATAGTTTTCGTTATGTTTTATTTCAGTTGATTTTGGGGATTACTACTACTACTACTACTACTACTACTACTACTATTACTACTTTTCCTCCTCCTCCTCACTTCTGGCTTTGATACTCTTCCTCTTCCTTCTCCTCCTCCTCTTTTATCTCCTCTTCCTCGACCATTTCCTCCTTCCTCTTCCTCACCCCCTCACCACACCTATAATGGTCGTCTCGTGTATATGCTAATGAAGGAACGTTATCTAAAAAAGGTTCCTCAGTTAAACTATATCTCTCTCTCACTAGTGACGTCAGACCTTATCTATACCTCAGTCCCTTTAATCTATTGCAGAGAAAAAAAATGATACTCAAAATGGCGTCAGAATTGTTTTATGACTGTAGGTCTTTACATGTACAGTGCAGTGGTGAGTCTTTGAGAGGGTGAATCTAGGGTTGAGTTTTACCTTTAATCTCCCCAGTTATATTATTCAGATAGACTCCCCAGGTAAACGCAGGTAAATTTCCCAATTAACTACCCCAGGTAAACTTCCCAATTAAACTCCCCCAGGTAAAGTTTACATTTAACCTTTACATTTTATTAATTACAGCTAAATTCCTTCTACACTTCCCCAGTAAAAACCTTAGCGTAACTCTCCCCATAAACAGCTAAATCCCGTAACTGGGTAAGTTAGCTGGCAGGGTTTAGCGTTTGTGTTTATGGGTATTTGGGTTTATGTTGAATTATGTCTTATGAGTTTAACTGAGGAGCCTCGCTGGGGTGCCTAGCTGAGGAGCCTCGCTGGGGTGCCTAGCTGAGGAGCCTCGCTGGGGTGCCTAGCTGAGGAGCCTCGCTGGGGTGCCTAGCTGAGGAGCCTCGCTGGGGTGCCTAGCTGAGGAGCCTCGCTGGGGTGCCTAGCTGAGGAGCCTCGCTGGGGTGCCTAGCTGAGGAGCCTCGCTGGGGTGCCTAGCTGAGGAGCCTCGCTGGGGTGCCTAGCTGAGGAGCCTCGCTGGGGTGCTAGCTAGCTGGGGTGAGGAGCCTCGCTGGGGTGCCTAGCTGAGGAGCCTCGCTGGGGTGCCTGGCTGAGGAGCCTCGCTGGGGTGCCCTGAGGGAGCCTCGCTGGGGTGCCTAGCTGAGGCCTCGCTGGGGTGCCTAGCTGAGTGCCTCGCTGGGGTGCCCTAGCTGACAAATTTGGCTGAGATATTGACCTGTTGGATGGGGTGCTGACCTGTGATGGATGGGGTACTGACCTGTGATGGATGGGGTGCTGACCTGTGATGGATGGGGTACTGACCTGTGATGGATGGGTACTGACCTGTGATGGATGAGGTACTGACCTGTGATGGATGAGGTACTGACCTGTGATGGATGGGGTACTGACCTGGGGTACTGACCTGTGATGGGGTACTGACCCTGTGATGGATGGGGTACTGACCTGTGATGGATGGGGGGTACTGACCCTGTGATGGATGGGGTGCTGACCTGTGATGGATGGGGTACTGACCTGTGATGGATGGGGGTACTGACCTGTGATGGATGGGGTACTGACCTGTGATGGATGGGGTACTGACCTGTGATGGATGGGGTACTGACCTGTGATGGATGGGGTACTGACCTGTGATGGATGGGGTACTGACCTGTGATGGATGGGGTACTGACCTGTGATGGATGGGGTACTGACCTGTGATGGATGGGGTACTGACCTGTGATGGATGGGGTACTGACTTGTGATGGATGGGGTACTGACCTGTTCTGGGGGTGCGGAAGATGGGGTTAGCGTCAGTTCTCCTCCAGGTGGTGAGGGCGGGAGGGAAGGCTCGAGCACGGCAGGTAAGGCGCACCTTGGCACCCTCCCTCACCTCCACGTACGACCCTGACCACTCCTCCAGCGTCGGCGGCACTGAGGGCGGGGACACGGGGTCAGAGAGAGAGACTAAATTACTGTATGATCATTATAATTGTTACTGCGTGTGTGTGTTTTAAGTTACTAGTAATGGCTGGCTTCTTCCGAGGTCCGGCCCATTTCCTCTCCTTAATATACAGTAATCACTATTATATACCCACTATTACCCATTACTCTTCCCTTTAACATCCTCTATTACTTTCCCCATTTCCAAACCCCCACTGTGCCAGGATGTAACCCCCAGTTGGCCCTCAGGACTGACCGAGGACCTGCAGGTAACTCCTGGAGGAGGTCATGGGCTCGGTGTTGAGCTGACACATATACCACCCTCGGTCTGTGGACAACACGGGGGAGATGGTGAGCCCGGCCGAGTGGCGGTCAGCGTGGAGGGAGAGACGAGGCGTGCGGGTGTACAGGTCCCGCCCGATGCTCAGGATGGACTGAGTCTCCTCGTGCACCCACGCCAGCTGCTGACCGAGAGAGATTACAAGTTAGTGTCAGTCAACCCACGCCAGCTGCTGACCGAGAGAGAGAGAGAGAGAACATGTCATCATCGTCAACATCAAAAGTCTGTCTCAGAATCCAAAGTGAACAATGAAAACAAAATACACAATTGAAGGTCAAAAAATAAGTTAAAGGGTGTACATGTTAAGCTCATACAGTGGTGTTTTGGTGAGACGTAAACAATGGGTGAGAGAGACGGTTAAGCCAGCATGATACAGTTAGTTATTCAAAGTGTTAATCTTATGTCTTAGGGTTGGCGACCACAGCCCTCCACTCCATACGTTTTCTGGCTGCTTTTACACTCCCACCACACACACACACACACACACACACACACACACACACACACACACACACACACACACACACACACTTTATCCGTCGGAGGTTGCTGTCGTGAGGTTGATATTGAGGAGAGGAGGGACGGGGCGGGGCTGGGTCGGGGAGGGGCAGGGTTGGGGCGGGGTGCGGTGGGGAGGGACGGTGGCTGGTGTGTCGAGGAATAAAATTGTTAGTTTTTTTCTACTGGAAATGTCGTAACCTTATACAGAGGCTGTTGGACCTTTAATACCTGTCAGTTGGGCTTGGACTTGCTCTTGGACTTACAACTCTCACTCACTCTCTTTCTTTCATTCTTTCTTTCTTTCTTTCTTTCTCTCCACACTGTTTCTTCTCTCTCTCTCTCTCTCTCTCTCTCTCTCTCTCTCTCTCTCTCTCTCTCTCTCTCTCTCTCTCCTCCTGACCTTGTATCCGTGTAGGTTGGTGACGGAGCACATGAGGGTCACTTCCTGCCCCTCCACCACCGTCACGTTGTGGGCGGGGTGCACGAATTTGGGCGGGGCGGGGCTGATCCTGGGGGCGCCGCCTGTGGGGGAGAGTGAGGTGAGAGTGTGAGATATGAGGAGTGTGAGTGTGTGAGTGGTCAGGGAGGGAGGGAGATGGATTTGATACACCTGGACTAATTAATACCTGAGAGACTAATTACCTGTGATGTATAGAATAAATATTATTATTACACCTGTGGGGAAAATCTGATGAAAATATTAATAGATCAAATTAAGGAGAATAAATATATAAATACCAGAATAAATTACAGTTAATCTGATGAAATAAATCTTGAAGTATTGTATTTTTCAGTGACAGACACAGACAGACACACACAGACAGACAGACAGACGGACCAGTATACAGTACACTACATCTTTGAATATACTGTAATGAAAAGGTAAAAGTAAACGTATTAATAAGATTGAATAAAGATAAATTATATAGAGATAGAGACTTGGATACATCGCGGGTGTTGGTGGTAAGTGTCGTTGTTGTGGGACGCAGCAGAAGGCGGACATGGCCCCTTAAGCTTGGCCATTGACTGCTAGGAAGGATAGATGGCCTTCATCCCAACCAGCATCATGATCGACACACACACACACACACACATCACATGCACGCACTACACACACACACACACACATACACACACACACACAATAAATGATAATATACAGGTGTTTAATTTAGCCAGTCAGGTATACGTTCTTGCATCTCCAGTTAGGACATAATTACAGGTGTGGCCTCCCCTTCCCACCCATCCTCCCTACACCTCCCTTCCCCTCACCCCTCTAGCCAGCTTCCACACTCAGTAAACTCCCCGCGGTTGTGGTAGTAGCAGCAGGCGATAAACTTTTGCACTCAATTCTCGATGGCAACTTTGCTCGTTTTTTTACCGACGGGGGTAGAGGAGAAGTGGGCACAAACTCGAGACAAAACGAACAACAACAAGGCAGTGCTGGTCTCTAAACAATGGGGGGGGGGTGGGGAGCGAATAGAAAACGGGGGAAGTCAGCAGTTTTGTTCAGCTCAGGCGTCCCAATAGCTTTTGTTATGAAGAAATATGAGGGAGACGTTCCGTACCCCTCCTGCATACAACTCCTCAGATTTACTCAACTCGGCTTTTATCTATATTGTGTGTCGTGTGTTCTGAGGACTTCACCTTGACTACCTGAGGAGGAGGAGGATGAGGATGGAGGTTGTATATTAATAAGGATAACTCGTAAACATTAGGTTCAAGTATATTATTTTTTTTTTTTAAGATGGTGTTTGTTTATGTCTGTTGTTTACTTTTGTGTTTGTTGTTTACTTTGGTTTTATTGTTGTTTACTTTGGTTTTTTGTTTACTTCTGTGTTTGTTATTGTTGTCATTATTTTTTTTATTTTTTGTGGGGTTTACAATTTTACTGCAGCTTGTACGTATAGGTTTTACTGTTTGACTTTCACACACACACACACACACACACACACACACACACACACACACACACACACACACACACACACACACACACACACACACACACACACACACAGACACACACACAAACTAATTACTGATATCCTCACATGTAAGCCACCTCCCCCCATGGTAGTAACACCCCTCTCCCCACCCCCCCACCCCCCCACCATACAAACACACAGCCATGCCTTCTGCTTCTTATTTGTATTCCCTCGATATATGCCTCGCTTTATCTCCTCACGGTGTCGCATAGAACGTGGCAAGGAGAAAACGATGCCTCAGGGTCATAATACCGCATGCGACATTCACCTCTCTGTCCCTGGAGCATAGTGGCGAGATTCATCCTGTAAATGTCGTCGTGTGTGAAATGCCATGGTGGGCAATATATATACATAAACTGAGAGATCAATATTTGTCAACTGTGGTAACTGGTCTTTCCTTAAGGTGCCAGTTAATGTGTTTTATTTTTTAAGTTATTTTTCCCCGTGTGTTGGTTCATATTCGGTGTTTTCCTCCTTCCTATCTGGTGTGGTTACCGTGTTTCCCCTCCCTCCCTCGTGTGGTTACCGTGTTTCCCCTCCCTCCCTCGTGTGGTTACCCGTGTTTCCCTCCTCCTCGTGTGATTTACCGTGTTTCCCCTCCTCTCCTCGCCTTGGTTACCGTGTTTCCCCTCCCTCCCTCGTGTGGTTACCGTGTTTCCCCTCCCTCCCTCGTGTGGTTACCGTGTTTCCCCTCCCTCCTCGTGTGATTACCGTGTATTCCTCCTCCTTGTGTGGCTACCATGTTTCCTTTAGTGATAGTGTACAATATTAGACAAAGAAGCATTAGTACAGGTTATCATATAGTGAGTCAGGAGCTAATAAAGTCACTATATTTTTGTCATAATACCAAGTTCTTGTTATAACATATAGTGAGGTAGTTAGTCTTAGATCACTATAGTTAGGCCATGATGTGTCAAATTCTCGGTGTATCATAATTATAGTGAGTCTTAGGTCATATAGTGAGTCTTAGATCACTATAGTTAGGCCATGATGTGTCAAATTCTCGGTGTATCATAATTATAGTGAGTCTTAGGTCATATAGTGAGTCTTAGATCACTATAGTTAGGCCATGATATATCAAATTCTCGGTTTATCATAATTATAGTGAGTCTTAGGTCATATAGTGAGTCTTAGATCACTATAGTTAGGCCATGATATATCAAATTCTCGGTTTATCATAATTATAGTGAGTCTTAGGTCATATAGTGAGTCTTAGATCACTATAGTTAGGCCATGATATATCAAATTCTCGGTGTATCATAATTATAGTGAGTCTTAGGTCATATAGTGAGTCTTAGATCACTATAGTTAGGCCATGATGTGTCAAATTCTCGGTGTATCATAATTATAGTGAGTCTTTGGTCATATAGTGAGTCTTGATAGTGAGTCTTAGATTGTTTTAGCTATGATGTGTCAAATTTTGTGTACCATAATATGAGTATAGTCATATAAGTGAGTCTCTAGATCGGCCATGATATATCAAATTCTCGGTGTAATTATAGTGAGTCTTAGGTCATATAGTAGTTAGTCTTAGATCACTATAGTTAGGCCATGATATATCAAATTCTCGGTGTATCATAATTATAGTGAGTCTTTGGTCATATAGTGAGTTAGGTCACTATAGTTCGACCAGGATTAGTTCTCGGTATATCGTATAGTGAAGCAGGTGGTTATATGACACTATAGTTGTACCATGACAAACACTCACTTTAGGTTGAGTGACGTCAGCCATTTATCACCAGAGGCTAAAATGAAGTACTGTTGCTAATTTGTTCCTGGGTAAGTGATGGGTGGCGGTGAGTGACGGAGGGGGTGAGGGACGGAGGAGGTGAGGGACGGAGGAGGTGAGGGACGGAGGAGGTGGAGGGACGGAGGAGGTGAGTGACGGAGGAGGTGAGGGACGGAGGAGGTGAGTGACGGAGGAGGTGTGACGGAGGAGGTGTGTACGGAGGAAGTGAGTGACGGAGGAGGTGAGGACGGAGGAAGTGAGGTGACGGCGACGCGGAGGTGAGTGACGGAGGGGGGGTGAGGGGACGGAGGGAGGTGAGGGGACGGAGGAGGTGAGGGGATGGAGGAGGTGATGACGGAGGAGGTGGGGAGTGAAGGCGGGAGGTGAGTGGACGGAGAAGGTGAGGGACGGCGGGAGGTGAGGGGCGGAGGTGGTGAGGGACGGTGGGGTGAGGGACGGAGGAGGTGAGTGACGGCGGGAGGTGAGGGGCGGAGGTGGGAGGCGTTCTCAGTCATCACGTTTATTAGGGAAATATTTAAAGATATTTCCTTGTTAGATCCGTCCTTAGTATATACAGTAGGTGTGTGTGTGTCCGTGCGTGCCGGAGTTGAGTGGCGGATAGATAGGTGATGCGTGGATGCCTACCGCTGCCATATGGTCGCATTCGTCAGTTAAAGGCCGTGTGAGTAACCCCAAACAAGACCGACTTGGAGCTCCGTCAGGCAGGTAATGATAGAATAGATAATATAAAGGAATATTCTCACATCATATCAGTGTGTCCTCAGCGTCGACCAACACCTTCCTGGAGGAGGGGATATTAATCAATGTTATCTCCCTCCTCTGTCTCCCTCCTCCTCCTCCCTTATCCTCATCAGCTGCCCGTCATCACCACCGTCGCTTATGCATATCGTTAACCTGGACTAAACTAAGGTCATTAAACACTACATCTTTCTGTAATTGGGACTCTCTCTAGGACACATAAACCACCATAAGAACTCACTGGTGGAGACATCTGGCTGGAGGTGGAGCGTCACACGTGTCAACAAAGCTTTAGAAGGTATAACTGGGGCGGTTAAGTGGCTGTGGTGTGGCGGCGCGCTATAAGACGGTCATCATATTTACCGCGGTGGACTAAACACGATCAGCCTCCTCGTAAAATCTCAGCCAAGGTGATAATTCATTTAGAGGTTATGACGTGTTTGTGTGTGGCCTCAGATATAACGGTGTGTGTGTGTGTGTGTGTGTGTGTGTGTGTGTGTGTGTGTGTGTCGCTTCTGTGTGTGTGTCAGTTTCAGGGTGCGTGTGTGTGTCAGTTTGTGTGTGTGTGTGTGCTTGCTGTGTGTGTGTGTTGCTCAGGGTGTGTGTGTCAGTTTGTGTGTGTGTGTGTGTGTGTGTGTATGTATGTGTCGGTTTGTGTGTCAGTTTGTGTGTGTGTGTGTGTGTGTGTGTGTGTGTGCCTTGCCTGGGTGTGTGTGTGCTGTTTGTGTGTGTGTGTGTCAGTTTGTGGGTGCTGTTTGTGTGTGTGTGTGTGTGTGTGTGTGTGTGTGTATGTATGTGTCAGGTTTGTGTGTCAGTTTGTGTGTGTGTGTGTGTGTGTGTGTGTGTCAGTTTGTGTGTGTTGCTTAGGGTGTGTGTCAGTTTGTGTGTGTGTGTGTGTGTGTGTGTGTGTCAGTTTGTGGGTGTGTGTCAGTTTTTGTGTGTGTGTGTGTGTCAGTTTGTGTGTGTGTGTGTGTGTGTGTGTCAGTTTTTGTGTAGGTGTGTATGTATGTACGTATAGTAAGTATAGTATATACATATATTTTCTT